AGCAGAGGTCGCCCGTGCCGTCTTCCATGATATCACGGTCGGAGACTCACAGTCCAGTATTTGTGTCGCCGTTAGCGTCACCGCGCTTGACGAAGACTGGATGAGAGATGGGTGTAGATAACTCGGTAGTTGTGTTAATCCTCCATAATGTAGCAATTGTCAAAGATCGAAATCAACGGTTGCCTGTCCAAGTCCGCCAGATTGGGATGGAGAGCACGTGGTCGGTGGTGAGAACGGGGCAAGCCGGAGCGGAGCGGGATAACTTTTACCAGAGCGGAGCAGCATGAGACCCGATCGGGGTCTATCGTCAAGCATCTCAACTGAAGGTTGAAGACGAAGGCGTCACCTGCCACCATCGCCCATCGCTCCTTGCCCATCTCTTTACTCTTCGTCGACGACATAAGGCGTCGGCACGCTATGTTATCTCCTTAATCATCCGTTTGTTTCCTTTTACTTGATCGGTTATTTGTCTCACAGTTTCCTTGCTTCTGTCGTCTTCCCGTATTCCTGCGGCCGGTGCCGCCACCCAACCCCAGGCCCTTCACAATGGCGCTACAGGCTCCCTTCGCTCAACTGCCTGTGAGTATCCCAGTCATGGCTCCAAATCATCACACGCTGACCATGCCTCTCATCCAGAGCCTGTCTGCGATCGGGCCCGATGTGCTGACCACGTTCCCTTCACTCTTCACCTCGCCGCTCCAGACCCTCCGAAAATACCGGCTCGCACGGCTGCGGCCTGAACCAGATGTGCGACAGTTACATTCAACGAGCAAGAGAATAAGTCGGCCGGGGGTACGAATCAACATTGCTCGAGTGCCGAACCGTTCTAATGCGTTGCAGGTCGCCGCCGATGTCGTTCTACCTGATTTCGTCGCTTCCCTTCCGCCGACGAACGGTATCCTCATGACCTCTCCGTCCACGTCGAAATGTCTCTCTTCCACGGTCGCCTCCCATTTAAATCCACTCTCGGCTATGCGCAGCATGTCTTTGACGAGTGCGCCAAGGGCGGCGCTGAGGGCAACAACGTCTAGAAACACATTTTTCCCGTCCCAGACGCAGTCTCCGGTGGCGTCTTTACTCTTCGGGCCTCCGAGACGAGGAGATCATTCAGCCTTGAAGAAGCAGTTCCGACAATTCTCGACGACCTCCTCGCTTTCAAACCAGAACATGCTGGCCCACGCCGAGCGCACCGCGAACAACAATCCAACTAGTGCTACTGCCCAAAATGCCTTCTACTCCGCCCTCCTACGTGCCAACATGCCCAAGCTTGTCATCGAAAGATACCAGTCCGGTCGATATGCTGCCAATCCCGCCGCCGATGCTTCCTACCTCAAGGCTCTGCAGATGACTGGGTCCCTTCCAGCACCAGGTTCTATCAGTTCCAATGTTTCGGCAGCGCACGGCAGCGGTTTGAGCCCCGACAAGTTACGAGCCGTAGGCCAAGCAGTCGCCGGGCAGAACTATGGGGGACAAGTTGTCATGCCCAGCAATAAGTCTGGTACTGGGGCAAAGGAGGCGCCGCTGTATGTCGTGGTCGAAGAGTCTTGGGGTGCCACGATTCTGAAATGGGTCAAAACGATACTCTGGGTTAGCTTAGCTGGCTATTTCCTCTTGGTTGTCCTCACCATGGTCGTGGAAATGACTGGCAGCTTTCGAACCAGAGTTGGCCAAAACAACGAAGTCCAACCACAGCACCAAACTGTCCGCTTCAGCGATGTCCACGGCTGCGACGAGGCCAAGGAAGAACTCCAAGAGCTGGTCGAATTCTTGAAGAATCCAGAGAAGTTCAATCAATTGGGCGGCAAGCTGCCCAAGGGTGTCCTTCTCGTCGGCCCCCCAGGTACTGGCAAGACGATGCTCGCCCGTGCTGTCGCCGGCGAGGCTGGTGTGCCTGTCTTCTACATGTCCGGCTCGGAATTCGACGAACTCTATGTCGGTGTTGGTGCCAAGCGCGTCCGAGATCTCTTCACTCAAGCGCGAAACAAAGCTCCGGCAATCATCTTCATCGACGAATTGGACGCTGTTGGAGGGAAGAGAAACGCTCGGGATCCCGCTTACGCCAAACAGACTCTCAACCAGCTTCTGACCGAACTGGACGGATTCAGTCCTAGCACTGGTGTGATCCTCATTGCAGCGACGAATTACCCGGAATCACTAGATAAGGCTCTTGTGCGCCCAGGCCGATTCGACCGCACTGTCAACGTACCCCTGCCCGATGTCCGCGGCCGGGTCCAGATCCTGAAGCACCACATGCGAAACATGCCAATTGCTGCTGATGTGGACGCCACGAACCTTGCCCGAGCCACGAGTGGCATGTCGGGCGCTGACCTTGAAAACCTCTGCAACCAAGCCGCAGTCAATGCCTCTCGGTTAAAGTACAAGAAAGTCACCGCCCAGAACTTTGAGTGGGCCAAAGACAAGATCATGATGGGTGCAGAAAACAAGTCTCGCGTGATCCGAGAAAAGGACAAGATTCAGACTGCCTACCACGAGGCTGGCCACACCTTGGTGAACTTATTCACCCCAGCCAGTAATCAACTGTACAAAGTGACCATCATCCCTCGCGGCCGAGCTCTCGGTATCACTCACTTCCTCCCGGAGATGGATGCGGTGAGCATGGCCTACGACCAATTCATTGCTCAGATCGACGTGTCAATGGGTGGTCGAGCCGCAGAAGAGCTGATTTACGGCCCGAACAAGGTGACCAGTGGCATTGCCCATGACGTGCAGTCAGCTACCCAGACGGCATTCTATCTCGTCACCCAGTGTGGCTATTCTCCAAAACTCGGAAACGTCGATCTCGCTTCCGACTATGACAAGCTTTCAAGTGAGACCAAGATGGAGATTGAGCGCGAAGTACGAGAGATAGTGGAAGGTGGACGACAGCGAGCCGACCGCATTGTGAAGGAAAAGCGGAAAGAACTGGAAGCGTTAAAAGACGCGCTCCTCGAATTTGAGACGCTCGACCGAGAAGAGATCATGAAGGTGCTTCGTGGGGAGAAATTGAAGAAGCTCGAGGTCGAGCTCCGCGAAGACGAGGAGAGAGACAACAATGACAATGGAGGAACAAAAACACCACCGAAGAAGGAAAAGGAGACCGGGCCGAAAGGCAGTCTGGGAATAAAGCTTCCTGATGTCCTTCTGCCGCCTGGCACGGGGAGAGGAGGGGAGAAGGAAGGGGTTTCCAGAGTCAGTGATAGATGATGTTGGTATCAGCCAGATGGGCTGCCCGTCCATTTTCTTGTGGATTTTTTTAGCGTGTACAGGACGATGACTCTCTTATCGTGAATGAGAACTAAAACTAAAATCAAAACAAGATGATTCGAATGCTTATAGAAATTGTGAAGCAAGGATAGATGCCTTGGTGTCGATTGCCGCAACAATACAGCACCTGGACTCGACCACGTCTACGCACGACAACACGACAGAGCAAGCTTGATCCCTTTCTTCATGATTTCCATATCTTCGCCTCGATAGCATCCATCATCCATCCTCCAGTGCAGAACAGGACAGGACAGTACAGCAATTGTTTGTGTAGCCGTCTTCTCCATCCAATCCCAGTCTCTCATCCTCCTACTCGTAGCGACGTAGTGACGGTTCAAGAATACGGCGTAGGGGTACCTGTACATATATGTTCGATGAGGAGAGCGGTGTGGACAGACAGGACAGTTCCGGGTCATTTCTCTGAGGATCTAGAGCGCAGCGTGTCTTCAACAGATTCTCATTCGCCCCCCCCCCCCCCCCCGGGGGTCTTGGTCAACAATGGTGAGAGGTCTCCCAATATCTGCCTCGCTTTTTGAATCATACTTTGCCCCCCGTCCCGTTATACATAAGGGCTATCCTATCGGTCGCCAGAAAGAAAGCCAAAAAATTCGGTTTCCAGATTGGGCTTGGCAGAGCTCCTCGCCGATACATATTAGTCCAGAAGAAATGCGCAAAACGTCTCAACTACTACTACACTACTGTATGTAGCCTTACGCGCTCTCGTTCCCCAATGCCGAGTTCCCCTGTCTGGTCGAATGAGATGGTATTACCAAAGTGGGAGGA